GGAACTTAATAACCACCCAGTGGAACATAATAACCACCCAGTGGAACATAATAACCACCAAGTGGAACTTAATAACCACCCAGTGGAACATAACAACCACCAACTGGAACTTAATAACCACCGAATGGAACATAATAACCACCTAATGGTACCTAATACCCAGGTGGATAATAATAAGGTGGTCAACAATAAGGTTAAATGGGATAAGGACAAGGATAAATGGGATAAGGACAAGGATAAATGGGATAAGGATAAGGTCAAATGGGATAAGGATAAGGTCAAATGGGATAAGGTTAAGGTCAAATGGGATAAGGATAAGGTTAAATGGGATAAGGATAAGGATAAGGATAAGGATAAGGATAAGGAGGACCAGAAAGACCTTAAGGACCTCCTCCCTAATCTAAAGGATAATGGAATCAAGATTCAGAATAATAAGAACAATGTGTTGAAGTTGAAGTCTCTTGTGCTGATACAGAAATAGTTTTTAAAGATAGATGTGTAGCTTAAACCTGTGAAAACTTAGAAAAAGTTTAAAGCAAATAAGAAGGTGGAAAGAAAAAGCTTCCAATGAGATTTGATGGAAAAGCTGACTTCAATGACAATAAAGATGTTGTTGTACAACTTGTATTCCCTGATAAAAAAGATAAACCTCTTATAAAATCAGATGGAAATGCGAATGCTTGTATAGAAAGATCAATTTACAGATATAGACCAAGTTTCTTAAGTGAAACATTAGATGATTCAACTGTTACAAGCACTTATGATGATGATAAATAATTAAGAATTTGGGAATTCACAATTTCAAATGCAGATATTGATAGCAAATTATTTAAAGATGAATAAATAGATAAGATAGTTTATACTGGTTACTATTCAGTCAAACTTACAATCTAAGAGAAGAAATTAGCTTAATTCTTCTTCACATTCTTTGTAGCAGTTGACTTAGATGGAAATGTATTATCAGCTAAAGCAACATCTGAAGCTTAAGATGATACTCCTGCTTGTGCAACTGAAGATAATTGTGTTTCAAGAGCAGAAACTGAAGTTGGATTCTGCAGTGATTCAACCTGTTCAACACTAGTTGAATAACCATAAGTCTATGCTAGTAAAAATTTCTATGTTGTTCAAAGAGTTAAATAAACTGGATTTGAATCATGGAAGGTTGGAGATGCTGATGTCACTATTACTGGTGATGGAGTCAATAAAAAATTGAAGCCCACTTAATAACAAAAACAACCAGGATAAACTATTTATACACTAAACGTTGATATAATTGCTAACAATGTTGAATTTTCAGTCAATGGCAAACTTGAAGATCCAACTGCAGCAAGAAGATTCAGATTTTTAGAAGACACCACTACAACCACTGATGGTGCTGAGGTTTCTTCTGCTAAAGCTGTTGGCTCTACTACTATAGAATGCATTAAAAAAGATGAAAACTCTTCATGCCCTACAGCTGAAGAAGCTAAAGCATACAACAAACCAGATTGCGGAACTGTTGGATAATCTGAATGTGAAGGTTATGGATATATCTGGTCTTTTATGATGTTTGCCATCATCATGCTTATCTAATGATAAAGTATTTACATCAATCAAGAATATTAATCAAATTTTATATTTTTTAATTCAAAATATATTATAAATTATATTTAATAGAATTATAAATATAATTATTAAAATAAATGTTAGGAACAGAATATTGGTCTTATTAATATTATACTTATTAGGATATAATATTATTAAAGAAGATTTTAAAAGTTGATTAAGTAGGATTTGTAAAGATTTATGAAGATGAAAAAATAATTGAATATTAGATTGATAGATCTTAACATCTTAGATTAAGCGATTTAATTTAAATGATTGTATTTTTATAATATTAAGTTGTAATAGAAAGCAAATTATGCAAAAATTAAACTGGGATAACTTATCTAATTATTCCTTAATCTAATAAATTAAGTCTTATAATTACAAATCTCATACTAAATTGAACATTAATATTTAGATGTTAATAGAATTTGGTTAATTTTTAATGATCCAAATTAAATAATAAATGTTTTCCCTAATAAAATCAAGTATTCTATTGGATTTACAGGATATTAATGTTAATTATATGAAGATAGTTTACATTAAATCAAACCAGCATAAAAAGAAATCTTATAAATTATTAAAGACATTTTGATTGACTTTAAAAGTAGTCATATATTTTTTAATGATTCAAAAAAAAATTAGATTCTAAAATTAATTTATGATCCAATCATTTAAGAATGTGATAAATTCAATATTTATAATACTTAAAATGTTATTATAGAAATTTTATGTAAATAAGACTTTGATAATGAATAACAGAGTATTAGTTTAGATGACATATAATAAATTAATAATTGTATGAAGTAACGGAAAATTACAAAAAAATATTGTGAAAATTGTATTAAATATTTCATAGATATGTTTAAAGAACAATAATCATATTTTATAGAAAAAATTTTAATGTAAAACATGAAAAATTTAGTTGCTATTCTTGATGATCAATAATAACCATAAGATTAAAACGATATATTATAACATTAAATATTAAATATGAGTGCTGAAAAACTTGAAAAGTTGTAATAACATTTTGAATCATAATAGAGCAAATTAAAGAACAATTTAAAGCAATCTATTAACTAATTATTAGAAGATATTTTAGAAAACCAAATGAAAAATTTTAAATTGTAAATTTCAGAGGAAGAAAAATAAAAATTGCTGAATAACTTATTAGATAGAATTGTCAATATGAAATTTAATAAGTACTTTTACAATTCTATATATTTTTCTAAAAAATAAAATTAATAAGATTTCCAATAATATTAAGAAAGTTTAATTACTAAATTTTCAACAGAAATAGTAACTAAAGAAGTTGAAATGTTGATTTAATACAAAATTTTATTACTAATTGATGAACTAATTTGATATAATCTTGTTTTTAAACTCTTAATCATTTTTTACATTAAGTTAAATTTGGTTATTTACTTATTATTTTTAAATTAAATCATTTCTTTCAATTTTAATGTCTATAATAACATTTTAAGTATTATAAATATTGAATTTATCACATTCTTAAATGATTGGATCATGAATTTATTTTAGAATCTAATGTTTTTTAGAATCATTAAAAAATATATAATTACTTTTAAAGTCAATCAAAATGTCTTTAATAATTTATAAGATTTCTTTTTATGCTGGTTTGATTTAATGTAAACTATCTTCATATAATTAACATTAATATCCTGTAAATCCAATAGAATACTTGATTTTATTAGGGAAAACTTATGCTTATAACTTCCTAATTTAATAGTTGGATACTTATTCCTAATTTTTCCTGAGATTAAAATTGATTAGTTGTTTTGCTATTTTTTTATTTATATTTAGAAATTTAATATTTTTTTGACTAATATAAAGAAATTAATCATCCTAAAAACATCACAGTGAAGATGTGTATTCATTTGAAACATTTATTGAATCTAAATATGTTAAATATTTCAATAATACATTTTGGTTATATTTCAATAATGAAGAATTCAAAAATTAAATTTATGCAGCTATTTCAAAAAGCCTAATTGCATCTATATAAGATAAATTAAAAATCTTCTTTATGTACAAAATACTTTAATTGATTGATGATTTGATATGAATTATTAATAAGTTTATAATGACAATATTTTTAATATATAGACTATAATTATTTTAATTATCTAAATATTTATGAAGCATTTTAAATATTCCTCTAAAGATATTTATACTTTTGAAAATTTGGATGATTTGAAGAGAGAACTAAAATTTGATAATATTGGTTAGGTAAACATTAAAGAATAAGAACAATTAATAGAATATATTGTAAATAGAGAAAAATTTATGAGATTAAGCGATCTCATTATTTTTATTGTATTTTTTCATTGAAAATAGTCAAATGATTTTGTAAGAATTCATTTTGGTCAACTTTTGATTTTAGTTCAATCTTTAGCTACAAAAGTTTAGAAAATGGAAGAAAACATGATTTAACATTATTATTTAGATTCTAATAGAATTTGGTTACATTTTATTGATTTAGATTAAAGGCCGTCTATTAAATATTAATTGTTAGATTATGTTATTAATTTCACTGGTTATCAATGTCCAAATTATGAAAAGTTTGATGAAAGCGTAGACTTAAAAATCAAAGCATCTAAAAAAATACTTTTTATTATTAAATAAATTATTTTAAGTTGTTATCAGAAAATTATACTAAAACAGAATTAATATCAATAAGATAAGGAAAACATTTTAAACTCAATTTTACATAATATTGAAAATAAAAACTTAAATGACTTTATTAAACAAATAGATGGATTTTTAGAAGAATATTAATATAATAAACAAAAATAAATCATTAATTTAGATGAAGATATTCATAACATGAGTGATGTAAGGTATGATAAATAAATTCTCTATTGGCTTGACATATAAAAAATAATACCTTAGGGATAAACAACAGAAACAGAATAGCAACCAATTATATTAGAATATTGCTTATATTAATGCCTACCTTCTATTATTTAATAGCTTAATAGTACATAAGAATATCAAAGAATAAATTATAATCCTGAAATGACTAGATAAATGATTGAAAATACTTAATCTTAAATAAATGATAATATATTAAAATTTATAAGAGAATAAGTTTAATCAGAAATTGATAAATAAATTTAATATTATTAATAATTCTACAAATTTACCTTTAAAAAAGATGAAATAACAAATAGCTTAACAAATGTTCTAAATAATCATGCTATATTGAAATATTTTAATAATACTTACACATACAATTTTAAGGATAATTACATGATTAATTCCGATAATTTACAATATTAAAATAATAATCTGTTTAAAGCAATGTAAAAAGCAATTTTATAAGCTATAACTCTATATGTAGATGATTATTTTGCTATGGATATAAAAATTCATATTTTAGAATTAATAGATGATTTGATTTGATTTTAAAATAAATTAATGAAAAGATAAGATAAGATAAATATAACAAATCAAAAATTTTATAAGTTTGTCATTGGAGCTAATTTCCTTGTTTTATTAAATTTAAAATTAGAATTAAGTCTTCGAGGAGAAATAGGAATAGATGAACTTCTTTATCTAGTTGCTGTAGTTTATTAAATATTATAATCTTAATCTAGAAATTCTTGTTTAGCTTATCTTAATAAAGTTGTACACATTTCTAATAATTAATCTCTTTTAAAAGATTTTCCATCAACAAGAATATCTGATGGATGATATGCTAAACATGTTAATTTAAAACATTATAATAATTATATTGATTATCCTGAACAAGAAAGACATTCACCATTTATTTAAATTGATGGTCCTTTCTTATTTTAACTTTTATAAACCAGTCCATCATCTATTTAAGTATCTTTAGCTCCCATTAATTATATTCCTTATCTATCTATTTCATCTTAAATTTATAAATGTGTTATCAAAACTAAAAAATGTAGTATTGTTTATACTGTTTTTTTTAATTATTTTAATTAATCTATTCCTGGATCAATTTAATTTTAATTATCTTAATTTAATATTTTCTTAATATTCTCTTCTAAATTTTTTATTTAATTAGTTGTTGTATTAAGTAATTTTTAATTGTTACTTTAACATGAAGAAATATTTATAAATACTTACTCATTTGTTTCTTTTTAAATTTAAACAATTTAATTTTTAAGATTAATATTTAATTGTTTAAGTTCATCAATTTGCTATTAAAAATTATCTTTAATTTATTTAATTTAATCTTCATAAAAGATTAAATTAGGATTATTAGATTATATAGAATTTTATTTTTATTATGAGGCAACATTTGATTATTAAATCATATCTTTGGAATAGATGCTTTCTTTTTTATGATAAATTGTTGAATCCTATCTAATTTAAACACTATTTTTAATATTATTTGTTCTTTAACTTCTAATTTCACTTTCCATATCAGATGCTGAAGATTAAGAATCATTCTATTCTTTTTTTGTATTTATAAATATCATTTAACTGATTTTAGAATTTCTTTTCATTACTTCTGCCAATGTTCTGGTATATTCATCGATTTATATTTAAATATTGGGTTCGCCATTGTATTCTAATAATTATTTATCTAATGAATCAAATTTCCTTTTTTCAAATTAGGCAAACTTGAAGAAGAATTTGAGAGGTAAACAAGTAAATAAGGAATCACTAATCTATGCTTATATATACATAGGTAAATAATATATTAGGAACATTTAAACTTATTTATTCTTATTGATTAATTAATCGACTTCTAAAATTTATTTTTTTAAAGTTGTAATCTATACATCTGCTTTTACTAATTTAGTATCTATAACTTCAAAAGTATTAATATTTTAAGTTTGTTTTTTATTAATTTCTAGAATAGAATCTGAGATCTATTTTAATTTAACTTATTCTTGCTTAACAATATTGAATAAATCAGAACTTTTATTATCTACTTTATTAAATTATTGTTCAATATCTATTACAGCAAGTTTCCAATTTTTAGTGCTTTCTGTTAGATCTGATGATAATTGTTTGATGAGTTATTCAATACTTGATTTGAAATTGTCATTTTTTATTTAAATATCTTAGAGATCTTATTCTAGTTTAATTTTAAAATATTCTAGTGTTCTAACTGTTTATAAGAACTTTGAGATTTCATTATCTGTGCTATCAAGACTTTGTTTGAAATTACTAAATTAATCAATGGATTCTCTTTTTTATTGATCTAGTTTCATTTCTAAGTCTAGAAATTTTTATTTGATTTCATCAAAGATAGGTATTCCAGCTCCTTGATTTAAAACTATTTCTCTTAAATAAGTAACTTCTTTATTATTAGACTTAAAGTTTTATCGTAATTCATCAACAATCATTCTATCTTCATGTAATTATTTTAATGTTGGTTCCATCAATTTTTAGACAAATAATCTAATTTTAGTTTCTACTTCAAACCATTCAAACTCTCTAATTTTATAACTTTGTTGAGATTTGATTTATTCTGTAAGTTTTGCTGAAGTACTATTTTAACTATCATACATATGTTTTGTTTAATTGTATATATAAAAAATATTATTATCTATAAAGTAAAAAGTCATTTACAATTGTATCATGTTTTTCTATACAAGTTATTATTTTGTTGATGATGCATAGTAGGTTTTATAAATTTTCTTTAGAAATTTAAAGAATCCTCTCTGAATAAACATATCACAGAAATGGATGGTATTAAAATAATATAAGATTTTATAAATAATTATTCGAAATAGTGAATGTTGGATATGTAAGAACATTTTCAGAAACAGTTCAGAATTGTAAGTGTTTTAAACGCAGTTTTATTTAAGAATAGGGATTATAAAAATGAAGCAGTAAAAATGTGAGGGATTAAAAAAAAGAATAAAATAAACAATATAATCATACAACAGATAAAGTTTATCTTTGTTATCTTCTTTAGAGTATTGGATTTTTATCAATACGATAATTCTGTTTATCTTATTTGATTTCTATATTAGTTTTGGATTTCGTTAATTTTTTCTTGCTCCAACTGATAGTAAATTCATTATCGAATTCATGGTTGTTTGAAGAAAAGGTTGGATGCTTTTTAAGTTTTGTGCTATGACAGCCCATGTTGGAATTCTTAAAATTATTTAAAATATTTTGAAATAATAATGAATAAATGATACCTTATCTTCTTCCTTAGGGGATATTAATCAATACTATAAAACTATCTTTTTATTAATATATAATATAAAACTATCTTATTAAAGGATTTAATAGTCATTTTTATAAATATTATGGGTAACTCAGCTTAAATTAATATAATAGTTTAAATAATTTATTTTGTAAGCATTCAATAAATAGATGAGGATTAATGTGTAATAAATTCAATAATTTAAATTATAAGTTCCCCATAATTAATTTCTTAGATTGGAATTAAGAGATCTTTGTAATAAAAGTTGAGAGATTCAATTAGAACTAAATTGTAGCACCAATAACATGGATTAAATAGATTTTTTAAACAATCTAATAATAAGTAGTAATTACTTAAACTGGAAGAATCAAGTAATCATTCTGGTAATTTCAGTCCTTATATTCTTAAATTTATAACAATTTGTACTTAATTTAGATCAAACATTATACAAGCTATTTTGGATATGAATAATTCTCAAATTAAATAAGAATTGATAAGTATTTAATTTTATTTTGAAATCCATTTAATTAAATAAATGATCCATAAATATTAGTAGTTTATATTTTGATTATTTAAATGAGTTTAATCATTTGATGATAATATTGTTTGTTAATTTGGAATTGTATTTTATAAAATCCATTTGATCATTGAAATGATTTCAATATTAGAAATAAATTAAATATTATTCTAAATTGGATTAGAAATGAACCAAGATTTATTGAGCAACATTTTTGGGAATGAGAGTCTTTACATTCCTTTTGTTGTGATTAAGAGATATCTGATTTACATTATTGATCTTATAATAATCTAAAAATGAGGTCGAATATTAAAAATTTTGGATTGAATCTAAATTTGATAATGAAGAGCAAGGATTTTTTTAAATAGAGAGACTTTATTTTAATGATTGAATAATATTTCATATATTAATAATTAAATATAATATAAGTGATATTTATATTAGATTATAATATACTATAAATTTATGTGATATTTATATTATATATAATATCAGATTATACTTGATATAGATATTTAATATCTGATTATATTTGATAATTAAGATATTAAATAAAACTATATTATTTTTGATAATATAAGTTTAAGTGTTATTTAATAAATTAATTATTATATATTCATAATCCAAGTTTTGCCAAAATTTATGAATCTCCAATTTCAATAGCCTAATTGATTACATCTCCCAATTATTGTTTTGATTACAATAATTGATAGGCATTATTTTCATATTGAAATTTGAGTTTATTGATTTCTTGTTTTCTTTGTTATAATTCAATTTATAATAATCTAATTTTGGTGGCAAGTTCAGCATTTTCCATATCAATTTATGCCCACTTCATTTATCCTTAAACGTACTACTACTCTAATTCTTTGAGACTATCATTTCTTTTAGTAAGAACAGAGAGATCGACACAACTTTAAAAAGCATCTATTGTATCGTCCTATTTGACTTTAGTAACAGTTGTTTATGCATTTTGAAGCTAATAAATGATGGGAACATCTTACATCTTTGAGTGTTCTATATAGTTAATTGAATTAATGTAATTGATTCTATGATTTAAAGTTTAACCATTTTCTAACAGCATTACAATTGAATTCTGACTCATTTTCTTCCATAATAAATAGATTAGGATTGATACATTAAGTAATAACTATCTCTAAACCACCTGATCCACTTATTTTCTTAATACCTAAGATATCAATAGCTTTTTACCTTTCTTTAAGATATCTTTAAAATGAATATACTCTATAGATTTGACACTTTCATCTTGAAATATGAATAATTCAACATCTTCATTTCTTAGATAATGCTCATTCCTAATAGATATAACTTTCTCATTTTAAACAGCAACTATTTAACATCCCTTTGACAATATTTTCATTTAATATTTAAAGTATACATTTATTCATATTATATAAATTCATTTTCTCTTTTTATTTAACTTCTATTATTTTTCTTCCATCTCTTATTTCTTTCTCTTCATCTCATTCTAATTATTACAATAATCTATGTCTTTATTTGTTTCTTCCATAATATTATAATTCTCATTTCTCTTTCTATCAAAGTAATAAAGTTTATTCACTCTTTTTTTCTATATAACTATTTATACTTACTCTCTTATCCATTGTTTCATCCGACACTTTAGCTATAAATTTCACATCTTCACTATTCTGCTAACTAGATGAATTATTGAATTTATTCACATTCTCTATTTCTTCCTTTAGTAATTCATTATCATCCTATTCCAAATTAGTTACACCATCTAATATCTTTGAATTCATTATCTTATATGAATATGTTTAATCAATCTTAAAACATATATTACAAAATGCTACTCCTTAATACATCATTACACATTTCTTATGATAATTATGTTTACATTCAAACACTACAAAATCATCATTACTCACTTTACAATCACCATCTAAACTTTATCCTGTTTTATTCTTATAACAAACCCTATTACTTGTTATACCTATCTTCGATCTCTCTATATACACACTCAATTTCTCATAAATATCATTCATCAACAATAACTGCACATTCGATTACAAATGTTAAGTATATAAATAATTCTGAATTATTTCCTAAAAAGCTTTCTTTAATTGGCCTAAATCTAAATTATTGTATCTATTTGATAATTAATATATCAGTGATCCTAAATTCGAAATCTCAGCTATTGTTGCAAATATGTGACAGATTTATGTTGTGAATATATTGTGTTTCATAAAATTCTAAGAAGGACTATCAAATATTAAATTATCCCTTATATCTATTAATTGATCTAACAATGTATACCATTTTTCTTCATTTTTTTCAAATTTATCATTTTTACAAACTTTTACAATTTTTTAAATTTAAGCTACAATCTCATTAGTGGCAGCCAATTTAGCATCTTCAAAGGGCTTCATTATATTAATAGATTCGGTTTCTTATCCATTTTTCTTTTTTTTTTTTCCTAAAGGAAATAAAACCTTTAAATTAGCAAGTTTATGATGATCATCTGATCCTCCCCCTAATCTCATTGATAATTTATAGTTTTAATCTAATTCAGTTTTATGCTTTTATATAATTTACCGAAGGATTTAACATGAGATTTAGACTGATTCTACTATTCTTCCCATTTTTTCTAAAATATAAGCTTGAGCTGGTAAAATTTTATATTATTTACACGGTTCCAATATTTCTTCTAAAGGATAATCATTTTGAGAAACTTCGTCAATAATTTTATCAGGATTCAATTAACACAATAATTGAATATTGATTATTAAAAAATTATTATCAACTTTATTACCCAATTCTCTTTCTCTTTTAATAACATTATCAATATATTATAATTATAATTCTGGAAATTAGGATAACTTTTCAATAACAACTTTTTCAGATTCACTATTATAATTAGAGAAGATAATTCTAGTTTTATTCCAATCAATTTAAATCAAATCACTAATCTTCAAAATTAGTGCTGATCTCATTTAATTAAAATTATCTTAATCAGATTATTCCAATTAATTCATTGTCTTTTCCACCCATTAAAATACAAGACTTCTTACAAATCTATTTTAAGATGTTAAAAAGAAATTAAATGCTCTTGTATATTCTTTCTTTCTCTCTGCAAAATATACACTAATCATAGAAAATGTTGTAAAATCAGCTTCATAGCTTAATCCTAATACTGAATTTGATATTTCCTTTTCTAATTTAATTGCTATATTTATAAAATATTAACATTTTAAATATTCTATAATATCTTTTTTATAATACCATTATAAGATAGTTTCTTACATCTATTAATCATCTTTAATACTATCAATTAATTCAGTAAAATATATCCAACAAAATACTTATGGATTTTTTAACATGTGACTTAAATATTCTACAATTCTAGAAGCATGACCACCAAAATTAATAAAATATCTTATTTAAAATAATATAAATTGAATTTGCAATTCATCTAAGAATATCTCTTACTTTTAAAGTAATTAATATGATTTTTAAAACTCATTTTCACCTGCTTAAATAACACTAATCACTTTACTAATAATCAACATAGTTCTACTGAAATTACTATTATCATATTTCTTTTGATATTCTAATACTTTTAAAATAACTTCAAATGTAGATATGGTTTAAAGTGTCATTAACTTTTCTATTGTTTAATCATTTAATAACCAATTTGTTAATTGTTTTTTTATTTCTATTTATTTTTATTCATTCAAAACATCCCCCAAAGCATCATTATTAATAAAAATCAATTTTATAAGAGCTAATGCTCTACATGCATAATAAATACAAGTTTCAAATTAAGATTTCTCTATCATTGTTAAAATGACTGACCATATTTTCAATATTGGAGTTAAATATTATTCAATATCTCCTTAAAAACATATAATTGCTAAACTCTTCATTAATCCATACTTTAGACAAATTTTAATTAATTAATCAGATTTAATTATTTTATGATCTAATGATTAGATTAACATTTAAATTAAATCTAATCGTTTTTCGTTTGTATAAATTTCTATAATTTTATTCAACATATTCATAGGTATTCTTTTTACTAATTTCTATTAATAAAATGGCTATAAACAATATAAGAAGAATTAATGATTATCTTTAAGACTATGATTAACATCATTCATAATTTTATCAAATAGTAAATCATATGAATCACATTTTAATAAAAACTCTATTAAAATAGATAACATAATTTAATTAGTCATTTTTAATTCTTATAATTTGTATTTAGTAACTTCATTCATGACTTAATTGTTTATTTAAATCATTTATAAACATACTTTAATATACTTTAATGAAAGTTCTTCAACATTATGTTTGATTAATGAATATCTTTCATCTTTATTTAATTCTATGAATTCACTATAAAATTCATTGAATCCCAAATATAAACTTAATACATAATTCATACAATATAACCATTCCTCTTCTTTAATTAAATGTTTAACTATTTAACTTTATCCAATCAAATTTCCTTATATACATATATCATTAAAGAGTGCATTATAATGTGAGAATTGTTAACTATAATTACAAATGGGATCATTGTATAACTTTAATCTTACATATTACTAAGTCACTTTTTTCATTAATGTTTTGCATCGTCTAAATTAAAACCCATTTGGTTTAAATCCTGGATTATCAAAATAACAATGCTTAATTTAACTAAGTTATTGTTCTGATTAATTTAAATCAATATGTAATGTATTCATTATTATTATTCCTTTCTCAGAATATAATAAATATAATGAATCTTTTAAAAAGACACATTCATATACTAAACTTCCTATATTTATATATTTAGATCTATGAAATATTGGTGAACCCATTTCAATCTATCTATCATTCTCTAAAACTAAATAATGCAATTTATTATCCCATACAAATGTCATTACATATCTCCTTTATAATTAATCTTTAATTTTTACTAAACCTCTTCCTATTGCACATGAAGTCTTAAATATTTAAGAATCTCTAACTTTTCTAGGATTCTTAAATTCATAGACCAATTTAAATTATATTTCTTTTGTACTAACTATTTCAACATAAACAACCCAAAAAAATTAAATACTATTTATTCCTATTAATATTCGATTCTCTGTCATTTATATATATTTCATAGAACCTGTTGGAAATTACATTGTATCAAGTAATTCCCATTCATCTGTTGAATAACTAAATATGCTCTTCGTATAATTTATTAATAATGATTAACCACTTGCATCTATTGATGTTGTTATAAATTATTCTTCTTTGTTTTTCCATATACATTTTATTACTATTATTCTTTATATATGAACATTTCCAAATGTTTATATTACAATACCTTTATTACTATCTATCACTATAATTGACTTATTTTATCCACAAATTAATATATTTCCATCCTTACTGAAATCCATACAAGATATTTCACTTTATGGTAGAATATACTCTTTCTCTTTTTTCTTATTCCATATCTACAAATATTCTTAATATGCTATAGCAATCTTATTCTTCTATATTGCTAAACACTTTGGATTTGCTTTTGTATGTCCAAATACTTCAAATTCAAATATATCCTTTAATTTTGGTTTATAATATAATGTTTTTGACTCAAGTGGAAATGTATATTCAAATTGTTCATTTTAGTACTTAAACTTTGTTCCATCTAAAGAAATCTCTTACAAATATCTCGGATTCTAGAACTCTTTCCTTTTTTATTATTATTATGTACTAAATTATTTAATCCAATTCTGAAGTATAAAATTATTGAAACACACCTTCAGGAGTTATTTCAGTCCTTAAAGCATTCTCATTTAAATCTAAGTTTGCCCTTCTCTATTCATTCCTCTATTAATCATTGTAATACATTTATAAAAATTAATATTATTAATTAAGAATGTACTTATTTATCTCGATTCATTAATTCAATAAGAATAAAATTATACACTATTTTTAATTATTCATTAAATAAAATAATGAGTTTAATTTTTATCAAATACTTTTTTTAATAGAAATATGATTATTAAATATGTTAAATTTCCCTTATGCTTGTGAAGATGTGTATTCATTTGAAAACTAAGAGGAGCTATAAAAAGCTATAGATTTTGATTAGATTGGATAAATTTATGTAGATTAAGATAATAAATCTATTACTTATAAAATGGATCGATCTAAAAGTTTAAGATTAAGTGATTTAATATTTTGGATTGTAATTAATATATATTTTACACTTATTAGGAATCAGATTTTGTTCGCATTCATTTAGGACAATTATTGCATTTAATTTCTAATTTGTTATAAAAAGTATAATTTATAGAATCTAAAGGTATTGAACACAATTATCTCGATTTAAATAGAATTTGGCTTTAAATAAAATAAAATAGTTAATATCCATGTCTTATTTATTAATTTTTTTATTATTCTATTCATTTTATAGGATATTAATGCCCATTTTATGAAAAATAAAATAGTTAATATATGTTGAAAGCTTCACTTAGAATTAATGAAATTATTTAAATCATTATTAATAAATGTTTCAATCAAATTCGTTTAAAATCGAAAAATACTTAAAAAAGAAATGAAATATTTAAAGAAATATTGTAACCAATAATTGATTTATGCAAATCAAATTCAACTTCTAATTAAATCATTGCATTCATTTAAGAAAAATTAAAAAAATATAATTATTAAGATGATATGAAAAATAAATTGGTATAATCATTAATTATAGATGATAATAGTAATGATTATATTCAATCTCAACGACATAGTATAATTGAAAATGTTAACAAAGATTTAAAATAAATTATTGAATTTGGTAGGAAATATGGATAGATTGTAATTGAAAATCTATTAGTATATAATATTCCACTCATAAGCAAACATTTAAAATCTTATTAAAAAATTAAATTTGAATATTAAAGTTAAGCATAGGAATTATATAGTTTATTATAAAAAAAAGAATTACAACTAAATGAACTAGTTTAAAATTCAATGAAATCCTCTTTGTAAGAATATGAAAAATAATTTAAATTTAAAATAACCTAATATGAAATCTAATTAATGGAATAAGAGATTTTTGATTAGATTATTAAATCTAAATATTACAAATATTTCAATAATACATTTTGGTAATATTCCACTAATTAAGAAGTATAAGATTTAATTTATGCAGCTATTTCAAAAAGCCTAATTGCATCTATATAAGTTAAATTAAAATTTTTATTTAAATTTAAGACAATTTGTTTGATTGATTAATTTTTATGAACCAATTCCAATATTATATTTTATAAATTTTTATATATAAATTTATTTCATATGATTAAATCAAATCCTTTATTATAAGATTTATTCAATTTTATAATATTAATCAGCCTAAAACTTATTCCAAGTAGATGTGCAGTTGAAATAACCAAAATTAATAGTTTTAGAAGTTTATAGGAATTAAAATTAATTAACCTATTTATTATTTGATTAAGCATCTATTTTGGAGGAATATAAATATTTAGAAATAATTATCAACTTAAAAAGTAAATACTAATTATTTAAATTTGTTTGTATCATGATAAATTGATTGAGGGATGGAAAATAGATTTTTATTCCTGTTATTATCTTTTAGTAAGGGGATTTTATTAAAATTGTTAAGAAGAAGTCGAGCATGATTATGAATAAAATATAAAAGAAAAGATAAAAAGTAGGCTTTTTAATATATTTTTCATAGAAGCATAGACTGACATAATCAATAATGAAGAAATTAAGATAATGTATATTATTGAATTGATGGGTCTTTTGATGAAGGTAGCATTATAATAGAAATGAAAAGATAAATATTATGGAAATAGTATGATTAAGATTAGTAGAAAAATTGATTAAAATTTTTTTAATTTTTTTAATGAATTTATTATATGCTTAAATATTCATTCAATTCTGACTCACATTTTATATCTAATTAAATCAAGAAAAATAAATATAGGAATTTATGCTGATTTCCGAGAGATAAGCTAGATTTAATTAGTAAACTTCATCTTTCATTTAAATAAATATATTTAAGGTTGCTTTAAGAATAAAGAAATTTTAAAGAATTTAATTAATAAAAATTAAAAATTGTAAAATTAATTATAATTTTGATTGAATTTATTTTATTATAAAGTATATGATTATTTATTTAATATGATTAGTAATTAATAGATAATACTCAACTTTATTAAAGTAAATAAAATAATAGAGGTATTTAAAGAAGAGAAAAGATATTATTTTATTTGATGATAATCAATAAACTATATTAGTGATTTAAACTTGAGAATAAATTATATTAATTTAATTGTTAGATTATATAAACAAGGAGATTCTAAAATACTGATAAAGATAAAAATAAAAGATAGAGATTCTTTATAGAAGTTAACAGAAACAATAAAGATCGAAATTGTATTGGATAATTTAAATATTTAATTTGAGAATCTACATTATTTTAATGAAAAATTTTGAATAGCATTCATGTACATTCTTCAATATTAAACAATAGATGATACCGGATTGAGAATAATTAATAGATTCTTCTCTTTAATATTTCTATTAAGTTTATTTAATTAAAAAAAAAAAAGATTTTATAAAGCATTTAGAAATAAAATTAAAATTATTATTCATCATAAATGTATCTAAAATTTATTATAAATGAATCTCCACTAGATTATAAATGTATTCCTTATAAATTTCAAGAGGATAGAAAGATGAGAGATAGTAATAATGGTTATAGTTTATTAATCAATTATAAAAAGGTTATGGAAATAAATAAAAGATTCAAAAAAGAGTAAATAGTTAAATTAGAATAAAAAGTCCATAAAATAGGAATTATTAAAAAAGGGTCGATAATCAATTTATGAATTATTTTTTATAAATATATATTTAATCAATAGTATTGATTTAATTAAATTGGTTTAATTTAAAATATTTCACAACTTTGATTTAAACAACCCTCTGATTCTTTTAGAATTATTAATTTTTAATGTATAATAATTGATAAAATAAACATAAGTGTCTTGATTCATCTAAAATGTTCTAATTTTTTAATGATTAACATTATAAAATACCTCTATAAGGGTAATTATTTTTTTGAAAGAAATTTTTATATTTTATGAATAGTAGGATTATAAGTATTGAAATTAATTTATAAAGTGGTTGCTAAATGGTATATGAAAATTTTATAATGATTGAGAATTAACTTGATAAAAAAAAATTGATTTTTTATATTAGGAATTCAGAAATTCCTAGTATTAATTTAAAAGATACGAATTTTTAGTTCTTGAAAATAAGTAAATAAATATGAAAAATAACTCATTTACTATATTGAGCTTCATAACATTGATAATAATGATGAATGGAGTGTAAACTTAAACACTTGATGAATTAAAAGAGAAAATTGTGAATGAATGGAAGAGTCTTTCATTAGAATTGATACCAAATTAAATATAAGACACAGTTGTTGCTGAATATTAAAGAAGGGAATGGAATTTCACATAAGAATTTGAATTTTCAACAAAGATAGAAAATTTTAATGATTATTCTGGGAAAAATAGAACAACATCAATTGAAGGAGTAGGTGTAATTACATTTTAAAGTGAAAGTGATGTAATAAAAGGTGCATACTTATGTTAATTCACATTTAATAAGTCAGCTATAATAACTTTACATACAGATGAATTAGTGAATGCATTTAATTAATTAGAAAATGGAGATAAACCTTGGGTTAAAGATTAACCTAGAAATGTTACAACATTAGCTGTTCCAGTTTTTAATAAATTAGCGAATTAGTTTTTTATAGCATATGATTTAATTTACATCAAAGATAATTATCTATACATGGGAGAAGTTGATGCATTTGGAAATGAAGCCACTTAAACCTAACCACCAAAAGGATTATGTGCTCCATTAATTCCTTTAAATGATGATGTTGAATCATTAAGTTTAGAAGAACTTAAAGAAGAAATGATTAATGGTGTTTGGAGTAGTATGACTAAAGAAATCAGACCAGGAAGAGATGCAAATAATTAATTAACTACAATTTATATTACAAGAGAACTATGGTTTCCTACTGATTCAACTTTTGGTTTAAAAATCAATTTCTTTCCAGATTAAGGAAATACTAATTCTTAAATGGAATTAGAAATGTTAGGTTCTCTTATTTGGGAAGGTGATGCATCATCTGTTGTACCAGGTGCATAATTTGCTTAATTTGTTGTTGATCAATTATATCTAACACCTAAAAATGATTAATTTACAGCTAATTTTAATTCAAATCTACCATAAGGTGTAGAACCATTCTAAACTAATCTAAAAGCTAACATGACTGCTAAAGACTTTCCAGCATTTGGACTAACTAAAAATGATGTCATTAAAGAAAATGATTTAGTTTATTTAAGATAAAATAGATTCTATTTGGGTGCCAGACCTGTTGATGCAGGAAGACCATATCCTATTGAAAGAAGAACCTATAGTCTTGCTGATGATTTAATTGATCCAGAAAGAGAGATATTCAGTACCTTATTAATAGTAAGTTATATGTTAATACTTATTAACATCTGAATTGATATAAATATTAATATTAATATTATTTATTATTAAATCTCTATATTTAAACAAGAAGAATTATTATATTTTTTAATAAATAAATTTAAATTAATATTAATTTATAATATTTATTATTTCAAGTATTTAATAAAATACATTAAAAAAAATTAATTAATTTTATGAAATCTAATCATTGAAAAGAAATAATAAATATCTTATATTTTCTAAAAAGTACAAGTTCATCTTTATTTTATTAACTAACTAGTTTTAATATCTTTAAAAATATAACGTTATCTATAAATTTTGACAATTTTTTTAATATTTGTAATCTAAAATTCTTAAAAAATGTTTAAAATATAAAATTTAATGATTTATAAATTTATTTTTTATACTTATTCTTAATTAAATAACAATTTATTTTTGATAACGTAGTAGAATTTTGATAAGGAATAAAGAACTAAATTAATTAAGAACAAAATTAAGGAAAATACTTACATTAAAAATTTAAAATTATTATAAATAAAATATAGTCAAATCTATTTAAAAATAAAACATTTTTGATCCTTATTATTGGATATTGTAAAAATATAGTTACAAATGAAACAGATAAACTTACTCTTTATTTTTCAATCTATATAAATTAAAACATCTCTTTAAAATATTTAATTCTAAAGAATATGAAGAATAGTGACGATATTTTAATAAATTATTCAGAATTTAAGTTAGAATTAGAATTTAAATTTGAGAGTTCTCCTATTTTGTTAAAGTTATTACTACTAAAAGTAGTTTTTAATAATTTTTTTATTTTTAATATATTCGATTTTATTAGGATTAATACAAATGATTTTAAATTCTAAAATAAAGTGTAAATCTTAACTAAAACTAAAAATTTTTAATTGAATTATTATTTATCTTTAAAATTTAAGGAATATTCCATTAAATCTAATATAGAGAATTTTATATATTCTCAAATATTTAAGAATATTTAGTTTTTAAGAAATTAATAAGAGTCTTGAATATAACTTAAATTGTATTTTACATCAAACAATTATGAAATAAGCTTATCTAAACATTAATTGAGATTTTAGATAGTATCCTGTAGCATAAAGTATATGGTTAGATATAATAAGAAATACAAAAATAAATAATCACTCTTTTGCTGAATAAAAGCTCTCTCCTCTATTTTCAACAGTTTTGAATTCATAACTATGTTCAATTTCTGATTTAGTAAGTTATTATTTAAGCATTTTTTCGAAATAGGTTGTTCTTGTAAATCTTCCCTCTACATAACAGTTGTATGCTAGAATAATAATATAAATTATAGTTCCTGAACTTCCGACATAAAAGGAAAATCCTAAGGCACTACCATCTAAATAATGTAATAAAATTACATTCCCCATCTATGCAAAAGATGAAAATTAAAAGGATCGCATAATAAACAAATAATAAGAGTATTATGAGGATTTAATATTTCTTTGCTTGCTATATTAAATCGAATGACATTATTTGGACATTTAATTCCTTTTTGATTTTGAAAATTCGATAAATATCAAAGAACATTAAAAGTATAATAAAAATAAGAATGGAACTCAAAACATATCTAATAATATTCATCATTGAATTATCATAGCAATATGATTGATAATATTCTTTTTCATAGGAAATATATTAACATATATTCCTTAATTCACTAAATTAAATACCTATTTAAAAAGCAATTATTTCCCTAACAACTGTAAAAAAATGATATCCATAATTTCTAATACTCTTTTTTATTTGGTGTATACATTTGATAGTAAGCTAACATAAATATTTACGCTTCATTAGCAAAATGTTTTACTCATAATCACAATGCTTTCCACAATGAAAATTAGAATGATTGTATGTTTAATCATGATAATTTTTTAATGCCTATAACTATCGAACAACTTTTCTTAGTTTGAAGATTCTCTGACGAAATTGATCATATAATTATTTTATATTTTTCTATATTTTTAATATTGTTTTATTCTATATATTTGGTATTTATTACTATAAATAATAAATTCTAATTTTTTATAAGAATTCAAAAGAAGTTAAATATTTAATAAAAAAATGTTCTTCAATAGGTTTATAGTTATATTTAAGTAAATAAATCTAAGAAATGTGGAAAACTTCAAAATGTATATTAGGATTGACAATCATTTGTGATAAAACTAAATTAATCTGGATAGTTTATTTTAATCTGATGGATGAACTTCTTTTTTAGGATAAGAAATATAAAATTAATACTTAATTTTATATAGAATAAGATAAAATATAAAATGACCTTTTTCCTATAAATATATATAAAATTTATTTAGATTTAAGCATCTTTTATTGATGTTTAAAAATCATAAATGATTAAATATCTGAATCTATTTATTTTTATCAAAAAAGAGGACTTTAAAAATTTTGTAATAAATTTTTTAGATATTTATCTTCTCTCATGTTGAACATTCGTTTAAGATTAAAAGATAAATTAAGGGATAAATGAAATTTGAAATGGAAAGTTAAATTTGCATTTATTATTTTGATGCCTTTTTCTAAAATTTCTTCTATTTTATTTATAATAGATAATAAATAACTCACATTTATAATAACTATTATATATTAAGTTAATATTAATGTAAATCTATATATTTTATTGAGTCTTAAGAAATTATTTATTAACAAATATGTTTTTGTTATTAATATCCTTTGATTGTAGAATATTAAAAAAATAATCTCTATTTTATTTATAAATTGATTAATATTATATATAATCTCAAACTTCATAAATTTTAACATTTTCTGAAATGACAGCATTTCTTTTTTTACTTTCTACAACTTTACCAATGACCCATCCCCATTCTCCAATAAGATCTTTATAATCTTTTAAAAATGAATCTGGATGTTTTGTAGCTATTAATAAACCTCCAGATGTTTCAGCAGCAAAACCTTCTTTAAATTTAAAATCTCTTGCAATTTTATCTAATTTATAAAGATTTCTAATAATAGGTAATGTATCAATAACAAATTCAACATTTAAATTTTATGCTTAAGCAAGATATTTAGCATGTCCTAAGATTCCAAATCCAGTGACATCAGTAGCTGCTTTAATTTAATATTTTTTAAATAATGATGCAGCAGCAGCATTCAATAAACACATACTTTTAGTAGCAACATCAAATGCTTAATTAATTTCATTTTAATTAGTTATTCCTTTAATAGCATCCCATTTTTATGGACTAGTTGTCATCCATTAAAATGTATTAACAGCTATTTAAACACCCAATGGTTTTGTTAAAATTAAATAATCACCAGGTTCTGCACCATTTGGCATAATAAAATCATCTCTATGATTTGAAGCTATTCCTACACCACCTCTAATTAATTAATTATATATATATATACATTTATGGCCATGGACTTTAAACACTTTAACCACCAGTTACAGATGTATTTGCTTCTTTAGCACAATCATTAAAACCTTTTAACATTAAAGATGTAGATATTTATTTCTCTTCTTCTGTCATTTTTGTACATACACCTAATACCATTAACATAGTATCAACTTATGTTACACCCATAGCATAAAGATCACTCAACACATTACAACATGCTATTCTACCTTATGCATAAGGATTCGCTACAAGAGGATAAAAGTAATCTATTGTTGAAATCGTATGGAAATTATTTGTCTAATTTATTGGAAATACTGAAACATCAGGTGTTTCTGATCCTATATCACCTTTACCAATCTATCCTAAATATTTCAACAATTATGTTTATGGAACCTTACATCCACATCCTTTTAATTCTGTAAAGTTTGTCATTGCAAAACCTTTTCCTAAACCATGATTTTCAGGTTACCAATTAAATAATAAAGGGTAGACTTATTACAAATTTTATGGCTTTATAAACTTTTACATTTTTTTTATTTATTATACAATTTTAAAAATATTTCAACATTTAAACACACCATATTAATAGATAATCAAATTTTAGAAAATTAAGTTTCTGAAGATAATCTTATATATCTCAAACTCATAATTTTTTGTTTTTTTACATTCTCTAAGAACAATTATGTATTTTAATCACAAAACTCTATTAATAAAATAAATAATTTCAGGAAGATTTGAGATAATATATTATGTTAAACACAAGAATGTATTTTTATTAATATTTTAAAATTGTCTATAAATATTATTAGACCCGATTCCTGAACGAGCAGTTAAAAAAAGAAATAATGTGTAGAAATTTTTATTTTATATTGATTTAACAAATCATGAAATATACTCAAATGGTTTACTTTAGTTTTCAATTAATAACAGCGAAGACAGAAAATGGAATGGTGGATTTTTATGTGAGTTTCAATTTAATAATAAGCAAAAAGAATAATAAAATATTTTCTGCTATTGCTTTAATGATTTAATAAAAAATAATGAAAAAATAAATTTATAGAATTTATATAGATTTAGAAATTTTTATAAGAGTTTATTTCCACTTAATAAGACTATTTTAAACAAAAGAATGATAATTAAAAGGAATTCTAAGATTTTATAGTAAAAAGTGTTGATCAAATTCTAGTAAAATTTCATAAAAAAAATATATTTTGAAAATACTGAATGCTGTAATTTTTTTGATTTTTCATTTATTGCAAAATTGAATGAATTAGTTAAATATTATGAATTTATAATTTCAAATAAATGCAATGTGTTTTTACAATTAACTTGATTTATATATAAATTAACTATATATTTATAAGACTAAGTAAATATTTTTAAAATAATTTGAAAAAGAACTTAATCATCTTTATAACTAGTACTTTTATTTTATTATATTATATAAAGATTTATAGTTAATGATTGACCTAACTGTTAATCTGAATAATGAAAAAGATAGTAATGAAAATGTGTCTCAATATTTATAAAGTTTGAATACTATTATTTGTGATATGCACATTTTATTTTAGCAATTCAGGAAGTTAGATCAACTTCAAGAGGTTTTAATAAAATATAGATAGAAAATTAGAGAATATTTAATTAATATTGTTAAAGAAAATACATAACTGGAGGTTTACTTATAATCAATTCATGAAGGTTAATCACATATTGAAGTTATTAATTAATTGCTTCAATTTTTATTTGAATTGATTTGAATCTGGTAATTAAATTTTACAAAAATTGTAGAAGTATAATTTCAATTAAGATTGTATAAATGAAAATAATATTTTAAGTATTGATAAAACTTAGATTTTATATTAATACCCATTTTTATTTTCTGTAAAGCTTAGCATAGATAAAGAAAATAATTCCTCGAAATTAAAATTAAAATTAAGATAAACCTTGTATTTTTATTTCGGTATGACAAGAGTTGGGAAAAGCATGATTAAATGTTTAATAAAATAAAAAATATAGTTATTTTTAATAAATATATCAAAATTGAAGTATATCTCATTATTATATATTAAGTAATCCTGAAAATATTATAATTATTTTGGATAATAAATATTTGATATAAAAGACATAAATACTAAAATTAAAATATCTCATAAAAATTCTAGTCAAACATTTCAAATGTAACATCTGAAGATTGATGATTTGATATTTTTTGATGGATTACGTAATACTTATGAAATAAATAGAAGTATAAATCATTACAATTTCTTTCATGAAGTAACTAGAGCATGTTAGCAGATTTTTTATTGATGAAGAATAGCTTTTAAAATCAAAAACGATTTAATAGATACCATTGCTTAAATTGGTTTGATGTTCGAAAAATAAAGAAATGATGAAAGTTTTGAAAATCTTATCTTTTTTGTATTTACTAAATTGAGAAAAAATTATATAATAAAATCATAGTTGTTATTTTTACTATGGATTGAATATAATAAAAATGGAAAGATGAGATAATGAAAGATGTTAAAGACCAATTTTAATAAAAAATATTGAATGGGATTTACAAAGCGATTAAGATAATTACATAAAAATTTATTGTGCAGAATCCTGTTAAATTGATGAACAACAATAGTCTAGCTTAAATCAAAATAAGTGATTTGATTACAGAATAGATTTATGAAGAATCAATAAAAAAACAACAGAAAGGTAATTAATAAAAACTGAGTTTGTTATTAAAAAATGGAAATGATTAAATCAAATCTTATTGGAAAATGTAATAATATATTAAAAAAGAGATAATAAAATAATTACAAATCTATAAATTTCAAATTCAATATAACTTGAATTTTTTATTTAAATTTTATTTAATTATATTGATATAAGGAATTATAACTCCTGAATTAGAAGGCCATTTATTTAAGTTATTACCTCATTGAACGAAATTTTATCGACATATCTTGAATATTATAACAATTGATTTTATTGCTAAGATACTGTACGACGATTAGAAAAAAATAGATGATAAATTCACTGAAATTTGCCAAATCAGCATCTTAGATTTTTTTAAAATCTCAGATAGACCATAAAAAATAATTAGTCATAATATTAAGGATTAGATTAATGAATTGGATAAATTTAACACCATAATATCTAAATATGATTAAAAGCAGTTAATTTTGAAGAATTGAAATCACAATTAAATTACTTTTCTAATGCTTTTATTCAAGTTATGCCTATAGGCTCATCAATTTTATATTATAATGATTTTTAAGTCTTAAGAAAATTAAATGATTAACTGAATTAATTATAAATATAGCAAATATCCCAAAATCCAAGAATTTTTTAAAACGTACTAATTTTCATATAACTTTTTAAATGCCTGACTTTTTTGTTATCGTATTTTCTCAATTGAATGATTTATTTAATAAAAATCTTTTCTTTTAAGGGAGCGAAAAATAAAAAAGAGAGAAACAAAATTTGTTCCCCATTTAGGAAGAATATTAAAATGTTTTTTTGAAAAGTAAATGAATGATATTTTAAAATTTCATCATCATAATCAATTTAGGATTACTTTTTTTATTCATATTTTTTTTTAATTATTTATAAATATCCTAATATATTTTGAAAAGTTTTATACAATGAGTTGAATATTAAGAAATAAACTTTAAATTTATAAGACATTATGTTGTAAATGGTGGTCACTAAAGATATTTGTCTTTTTAAACTCATATATTAGAAGCAACTCCATCCATGATTCCAATGCTCGTTGCATAGGATTATAAAATGTTTCTCTTTTAGTTGTTTAAGATAACATCCGTCATGCTATCTATAATTAGGTTCGTAATGAAATGTACAACGCTTTTGAACACAATCTTATGGTTTTTGTAAAATCCTAATGGTAATCATATCAATCAGATACAACAGCAGCAGCTTTTTGGATTACTAATTCTAAAAACGTCGTCTTTAAAAATAGAGTTGGAGGAATTTGGAATGGTAAAATAGAGTTACGCCTCTCAATTTGTCTTGGAATACACATACAATGTTAATTGGTCTAATAATTGGCTCAGTTTATCAATCTTGGCATCATAGTATATTAGTTCCTAAGATTCAGGAATTTTATTCAGATTGTTAAGGGGAAACTTTTGATGTTTACAAAAATGAAACCCTAAATTCATATCCAATTTCAGCTAAGTTTCTGAGTTCCAAATCCACATACTTGCAAGAATGGCGACTAATACCATTATCGATCTAAATCATACTGCTATATTTTTATTTCAATCAAATAAAGATAAGAATCAGTAGCTTAATTTGGTGTATTCTGCCTACAATAAACCATTATAATGATAGAAAATTACCAGAATTTGATAAAATTTTATCTTAGGGGAATTTTTTTTTGATAATGGTAGAGTTGTTACTATCTTAAAAGTTAGAAAGATCTTTTGTATAAATGGTAAATTAGTAGCAGTGCAACCTAACTTTTTATCGGTACAATCAACATGATCCTTACAGGCCTTCAAAGTGGTTACGAACTTTTAATTGATAATAACATTGAAGAAAGGAAATAATGTCTTGGCTGTCACTTGAAGATTAGAGTTATTTGGTAAAGTACCTTCAGTAAGGTTCCAATTTAACAGAAACTGCACTCAAAATATTTTTTAAAGAAGAAAGATTTAATCGGAGAAGAAAAGAATTCTATCTTGAAATTTCTGTTGATATTTCTCTATTTAGTATTTAATTAAAATCTAAACTAGTATAAAAGAACAACTGATTGCAAGAAAATTTAGATTAAAACATAAAATCACAATATTTTCAAAGTAAAATGATGGAAGATGTGGTAAATTCAATATAAAATCAAACAGAAGTCTTAAGCTAAAAACAAAGATATTTTTATTAAGGTTAATAAAGAGAAATAAAATGTATATTTTACGAAGTTATCTTGGATTTTTGTATCCACAAGTTTTTAAGGAGATTTATAAACTTAAAAAAAACCACCAATATATATCTGCTTAAAAAAAGACTGATATAACTCTCGACATTATTTATATTTTCACGCAAATATGACCTAATATATCTCACATTCAATTATATTTGGAGTTGATTATCCAGATAAATGGATACCATAATTCGCAATTTGATATTAACTGCGCTAATAAGAATTTCCTAAATTTGAAGCCCCGCTATTAAAATCTGCTGCAATTTATAAGTCATAGCCATTACCAAAAGTAGGTCCATATGATTGATTACAATAAATAGCATTTGATTTGCCTCCTTCAGTTAAAGGATATATTTAATCATGTGTCTATGAAAATAAAAATGATGATAATGTATTATCTTAAACGTAATTATTCAAAGTTTATTACCATAAACAGGGAGAAAATGCACCAAATATATATCCACTTTTAGATTTAAATATCATTAATAAATTTGATTTTCCATTTACCTTACTCCAAAAAGATTATCCACTTAATCCGTCTCTTGTACTCAAATATATTTGTTAATGGCTCTTTATTATTTTATTGAGTTTATATGAAATGGTATTGTTAAGTCTTCTTTTATAATTTCCTTACAATAATTGACTTTCAATTTTTGTTCCGTTATATAATATATCTAATTAATCCTAGAATTATATCTAACTCGAAGTAAAGATGTTAAACTATTCCAATAAAGTTTTAAATTATGGATATTATTCTTGATTTTAATCTTTTTGTTCTAATTTGATACTATTTAAAATATCATTTAATGTTTAATTAAGTTCTTTAGAATCATTTTTTATAAGATCTAATAAATATTAATGAAGAATTTTTTCATTCTTTTCTATAGCTTATGGATTGATTGAATCTCCTAATTATTCAAGATTTCCTGTAAATTATTTAAATGAATCGAATTTTATAATCTATTATTCTCGATAAAATATTTACTTTTTGTAATTCATCCCGTATTTTTTATTTAAATTCTAGAAATTATTTGGCTTATAATTCTAATTCTTTATAAACTGCCTAGAGAGTATTTTATATATTTGCAATTTTAGTTTTGAAATCTAACAAAAGATTATTCAAACTCTTTTCATTATATTTATCTAATTCATTTAAGAATTATATAAAATTAGGAGCTAGGTTTAGTTTTGATAACAAGAATTCAGGTGATTTTAATGCCTTTTATTATAGCTTTTTATATCATACTTTCTTGATAAGAATTAACTTATCAAAATTAACATTTAGGGCTTTATCCTATAATTCCAAGCAACATTCCTCACAAATATATTCTGTTTTATCTTTTCCAACTTTGATGAAAAGTAGAAAAGAGCCTTCATGTTTAAAACAGGGTATTTATTTCATTTTCTATTACTTTAAATTAAAAAAATAATTAATTCCTAAATTTTATATTGATAATTACCTAAATTTTATTAAAATTATCACATTACAAATACAAATATTAAATTAAGATTATAATGGAAGTTCTATTTTAGCAGTCACAATAAATTTTTGGTTTTTTTTTCTAATAAATGTGTTTTTTAATAATAAACTTTTAAAAATTTATTTTTAAGATCAAGTTGGCC